ATGTGACTTTGGGCAGATTATTTAACCTCTTTGAGCCTTAGTCTTATCTTTAAAATGAAAGAATTGAATTGATTGAATTGGGTGACCTTTAATAACTCTCTAGTTCTTAAACCTATGATTCTTATAATTTCTATGATAACATAAGAATATAACCTAGGTTGCAGGATATAGCTGGTGTGTAATCTAGATTTACTTTTTATTTGTGTCTATCATTAAATTAATGAGATAATGCCTGTAAATTAAACATTGTGCTTGGTTTATCATTATTGTGGTTCTTACCATTAATAGCATCATTTCCCTGGATCATGCTGTTACTAGCCAGTCTGTTAAAACATGTGATAAATAATTCTGGCCATTGAGTTGTTTGTTCAAGTGGATGTATATAGAAATAATTTCATATGTTCGGCATTGGCTTTTGTTGCCACTCTTTTCTTCATGCTATCACTTTATGCTTCCTCTTATCATAATCTAAGATCTCAGGGAGGCAAAGGCTGGAGTATCTACCACCTCTTGTGATACCATGGCCCAATATGAGATTAAGAAAAGTTCCCTAATCTCACCTGGAGAATCAAAGCATTTATTTAACTTGTTAAAAGCCTGAATATCATTACCAAGTGGATATGAGTAAAATAGTCAACCCTCTTATTTTTCTTTCCCATCAACCTGTAGCCTTCTAACTTACTCGTTCCTTATACTACTGCTCTATTCCCTGTTCTCCTCCACATCAGATTTTATCTGTCCCTCTGCTTACTTTTGTGTTGTTTTTATATAGTTTTCCTACTTTTATTTCTTTTCCACCCACTATTCCAAACCAATTTATACTATGATAGTAAAGTCTCACCTAGATACTTCCTTTTTTTTAAAGGAGCCATGTAGTATAGCAGTTAAGTTCACAGGATCTGGAAACAATCTGTCTAGATCCAAGTCCTACTTCTGCCATTTACTGTAACCTTGTTCATGGTATACTTAACCATGTAGTCTAAATTCTCTCATCTGGTTATATTTTAAGAATTTTAGGATTAAACAAGAATATTTACGTGAAGCTCTCAGCACAATATCTGGTACTGTTAGTAGTAGTAATTGGGTATATTTATAATACTTTTCACATATTAGTCTTTGGTGGCAAAACATACTTTAAATATATTCAAATACTACTTTTGAGAATGTTTTAAGAAAAACATGGCAATTTTTATCATCTCTGTTCCAGTTTAAAGAAGGAAAGAAGAAAAAA